ATTATAATCCTTATTATAAAGATGTTTTTGTCTTTTCTGGTTAGAAATAAAACGTAATCAGCTGTGTTTAAAACAACCCTTCAGTTAAAAGCTGCATGTTGCTCAAGCACAAAGGTTTAGAATGGTTCATTGTATCTTTTTAAACCTTTGTTGCACAACCTAATATGCAACACACACCCATTTGGGTGTTGCTCCCAGAGACAAACAGCTACTGAAGGAAATCTGATTAAACCTGAGCAGTTATCACATCCAGGTGCTGCACTACATTCCTTTAATCGTATTACAAGTTAGAGTTTTATCCAGGCCAACGCCTGGTTACTTCCCTTATCCTCTGGGGAGACATTAATCACAGAGTCGTGCGCATGAACTCGTGGAAGCGTACAATCAACCATCCATGCCAGTTTAGTCCTTTGATTTGAGTTCCCTCTGCAGTCTGAGCGGCCCTGTTTGGATTGTAGTCACGGGCTGTGACTCATCTGGTGTCTGAGCCAAGCTATTTGCTGCTGACACACCTATAGGGCCAGGAAACACACCCGTTCCCACATATCCTTGAATTCAACTGGAGCAACCCGTAAAAAAGGCAGCAACAGAAAGGGGGAAACTGTTTAGTAAGAATATGCAAAATGTTTTGTGTAGTTCCTTGATGTTTCGTTTGATCAGCGACGCACAAAGCACGATAGATGTAAACGCCATGTTGGAGTTTTTTATCATCAGACGGCCATGTTTTTTTTATTTCCCCCTTTGGCCCGTTTTAGATTTACTGCAGGTAAATTACAAAGCTGGGTTTTGATCAACACATCCGTGTGAGAACCAGTTTAGAGTGGAGACTGCGTTGCTATGGAGCACACGTTTACTGTTGGGTGGCTATAGGGCTTTAACCACCCAACGCCTGTTGAAAAGTTGTTGAGCAGCAAACAGTTTGCACAAGATTCCTGCTGTTTACATGCAGACACGTCGCAGGAGTTGTCTTACAGGACGCAGCATATGCCGTAAGCTGAAACGCTTCTACAAAGGCAACAGAGGCCAGTGGTAGAAAAAGCACACGTGCACTGGAGAAACCACATGCAATAGTGGGCAACTTCGTAAGCTATTTTCTGGTTAAATATACATTTTGTAGAAAAGTATCATTTCTTTTCTACGGTCAAGCTATAAAATAAAACATGTTTATTTGTTCCCATTCACAGACGTAACATCTTATTTCAACACTTATTCTCAAAGCAATGCTAAACAGTTGAGAAATATCTCACTTGATAATCTTTGCTTGTCCTCCACATGGTTGTAATTGCTTTTCCACTTTTGTCTCAGTGCATTCGTGTAATTAACGAACTACACATCTGCACACACAAAACAATGGGAGTGCTTTTCATTGCAGAGCTGCACCCTGTTTTTTTTCTAGGACAAAGCAAACTTGATCCATGGTGGCAAAAACCTGCAATATTAAAATACATGTGCGCGCTTACATGTACGAGCGCGTATGCCACACCCTGTTTACTCCCCACAAAGAAGAACAGCAACTTCCTCGACTCGTGTTTCTCACATGCTGTTTTGTTACTTCACATTGGTGAATATGGGTGTGACACGAGGAGGACGAGAGACGCTGGCAAATAGTGAGCAAAATGAGAAAGCAAAAGTCATTAACAAATAAATAGCATGTCTCTTTCTTTGCACAACAGGATGTAAAATTCTATCCCAAACATACTTTGGGATAGAAACAAATGGCCAGGACGAATGGCCCAAATCATCAGTCAATGGTATTATGAAATAGACTAAATATGTCGAGTTATAAAATAATATATTAATACAATAAATTAAATAAATGCTATGTCCTGAAAGGTGTTAAAAGGGGCCCATGTTGAGTCATCTGACATAGCTGCCAGTACAGCCAGTTACATCTGTAAAAAACAACAACACAGCAACGGCCAATGATCTTGTTTTCTGGTTGAAATTTATGAACTTTTTTTTTTCTTAAATCTTTTTTCTTAACAAACAAGTTGTGGGTCAAACTCTGTCCATAACCTCAGGCAGAATCTTTTAAATGCCAAAACCCAGCATGACTTTCACAACCAGACACTTTGTTGTGCAGCAACATCTTTTATGGACGCCTGCTCAGCCCTAAGTTTTAAAGATTCAATCTGTAGTTTTTACCGTTAATCTTTGGAAATAGCCATCGAAATTTTGTTAAAAATGAATGAAATGATGTGCGGCTTCATTAGCCTGGCCTGCCAGAATCCTCCTCTGTTTAATTCTGTGCAGAGAAAGGGTCTGGGAACTCTCCTATTCAAATAACCCCATCCCGTGAGAATTCTAACCGAGCCAATCAGCGCTGAGTAGCTTACGTCACACACAAGTTTGTCAAACATGGCGACTGAAGCGGAGTCCACTGCGGCTCTTTCCTCTGTTCTAAAATACTTGGACATGTCTTTAAAACAACAAGTAGAAGCGCTAAAAGCCTTTCTTCGAAATAAAGATGTTTGTGCTGTCGCCAGACTCCATTTTTTACTACAGCTAAAAAAGTAGAGTCGCGGACGTCACACACAGCGACGCTCAGTTTCTCATAAACAACGAAGACAGCGGCGGAGTTCACTGCGGCTCTTTCCTCTGTCTAAAGGACTTGAACATCTTTACAACAATAACAAGTAGAAGCGCTTAAAGCATTTCATCAAAAAAAAATAAAAAATTTTTGCATCGTTGCCAGACACCTTTTTTTTTACTACAGCTAAAAAAACTACAGCACTGCGTGGTACAGTCACAGCATTTCCATCTTTTTTTGGATTGGTTGTTTGAGCTGCCTGGTCCCACCCCTTATGTACCTCTCTGCCTGTGAGTTACCAGACTTTCTCTGTGCAGAATTAAACAGAGGACGAGTCTGGCAGGCCAGGCTATGGCTTTGTACCACAATAACCATAAAAATCGGGTCTAAAGTACATAGGGCGCGTGTCTAGCATCTTTGGGGGACGCCATATTAGACAGCGTGTTTCATTCTGGCCGGGGTCCTGCACCTGTCGATGACACCACACTAGATGATTGGCTGTTTGTATGACTTATGGAAGTTATGTTACCACGTTTGTCAACATTTAGGCAGCGAGAAAAATGGACGTAATAACAAAACTGCTAAACTTTTTCCAAATCCTATGTGAAAGAACAGAATCTAAAAGAAGATGCTATATATTTTAGACAAGTGGTATTGCTGTAGTAACGTCATTGACAGGCGCAGGACCCCGAGCAGATCTGGGGACTACAGTGCCAGAAAACTAGAATCAGTGTTGCATTCTCTCGATGGAATTAACTGAAAGACCATCAAAGTCTGACAAGTCACGCTGAGGTTGCATGTTTTCTGCTCCACAGGTGACATTTAGAGCCAGTCACGATGTATGTACTGCCCCCTAGCTCCAGGAAACTACGCACTGCCACTTTAAACCCAACTGTCTGACACATTTTATTTATATTTAACTTTTTTTGCTTTTTGATTTTAGATCACAAGTTACAAGAAAAGAAAACTGAAAGTATCTAAAAAGTAATTGGAATACCAATTGGATGAGTAGCACTGATAAGAGTGAGATATCCCACCTTTATTTTAACTTCAAGGACAATAAAATGAAGCAGAAATCTCATGATGCTACCTAAGACATAGGCTGATGTCCAAATACATATTTTGTGCAAATTCAAGTATGAATACATACAAACCTTAAGTACACAAAGCAGTCAAATATATATATATATATATATATATATATATGTATGTATATGTATATATATATATATATATATATATATATATATATATATATATATATATATATATATATATATATATATATATATATATATATAAAATTAGGTCAAACAAAATTATGTCTTCATCTGTGCCATCGTCTTCCTCTGCTTATCCGGGTCCGGGTCGCGGGGGCAGCATCCCAACTAGGGAGCTCCAGACCGTCCTCTCCCCGGCCTTCTCCACCAGCTCCTCCGGCAAGACCCCAAGGCGTTCCTGGACCAGATTGGAGATGTAACCTCTCCAACGTGTCCTGGGTCGACCCGGGGGCCTCCTGCCGGCAGGACATGCCCGAAACACCTCCCCAGGGAGGCGTCCAGGAGGCATCCTGACCAGATGCCCAAACCACCTCAACTGACTCCTTTCGATCCGGAGGAGCAGCGGTTCTACTCCGAGTCCCTCCCGAATGTCCGAGCTCCTCACCCTATCTCTAAGGCTGAGCCCGGCCACCCTACGGAGGAAACTCATTTCGGTCGCTTGTATTCGCGATCTCGTTCTTTCGGTCATTACCCAAAGCTCATGACCATAGGTGAGGATTGGGACGTAGATTGACCGGTAAATCGAGAGCCTGGCTTTCTGGCTCAGCTCCCTCTTCACCACGACAGATCAGCTCAGCGTCCGCATCACTGCTGATGCTGAACCAATCCGCCTGTCGATCTCCTGATCCCTCCTACCCTCACTCGTGAACAAAATTATGAAGTTCTGTAATTCAGGGTGGTATCATTACCTCAAAAGGCTTTGGTAGAACGTATCTTGTAAACAGACTCATACCTTCAGTATGTGAAAAAAGCAGTCATTCATGAGTCATTAACTTGATGATAACGTTGAATCAGTTTGTGTACGGTAGTTTAAGTACTTTAATGACATGTTTATGCCATTGTCTGCCACATAATAGCCACTTTGTGGTGTGTTACTCTGTGTACTTCACTGTCACTCTGACATGTACACCTAAAACTAAACTGATTAAAATCTTATTTACAGTGTGACAGAGTTAAATAAAGACTCGGCTATGTGTATGTTTTAGGAAAACTGCTAAATTGTTGATTACAAATGCAGTTACCAAACTGTAAATATATTCTTCCTCAAAGTCAATCTGGCATTCCTTGTTGCCTGTCTTTGCAGCTCTCTATGTGGAACAGTGGGTGGTCCCAAATCTGAGGACCACTCCTTCATATGGGTCCCCTCCCTTGTAGTCCCCTCCCTCTACGAAGCAGGAGCCCTACCCATCTCTCTGTCCAGCCACTCTGCTTAGCCCAGAGTAGAAGCCACACAAAAAAACAGAGGCTTAAATCAACTCGGAGCAAAGGAGGGAGGGCAAGAGGAGGGGGGAGAAAACGCCCTGGAAATCTGGTTGATAGAGAAATAGGAAAACAGCTAGACTTCTGACAGACTGCAAAGTTGTGACAGTGTGAAAGTGTTCTTCTTGGGCCGGGAAGAAGGGGAGAAGGCACGTTTCCAAGGATGCTCAAGCTGATGTGAGGCTTCTTGGGCGCAAAGATTGCGCACAGGTAAATTTGCAGCAGTTTCTTTATTTAGTGAAGTGAAAGTTTTTTTGACCACTGAACTTTGGCGTCTGTTCTTTCATTTAAACTTAACTGTGGTACAAATTTCCATTTCACAACAATGACACAGTTTAAAACCTGAGTTGCAGAAGTGTTCAAGTTGTCTAAAAATAGTGTTTCAGTGTGTCAGGGAACACTTGAGTATGTGTTGTTAGACTTTAGCACATGTGCTTATCTGTGACTGCAGGTTTGTTTCAAAAGGAGGTTATGCTTCTACTACTTTGGTTTTTATGTTTGTGTTCCTATTGTGTAAGGTGGCACTCTATTTGTTTGTAAATCATTAAAAAGAATCAATGCAAAGTAGGGCATGAGGAGTTGTACTCACACCCACATGAACGCACAGGGTTTTACTGGAGTTGCGCACTTCACTTTTAGCTTTAGCAGTGGTAGTTAAACAGGCACACCAGTGTTAACCCTCTCAGGCTCAAAATAAGTTTTGATAAAAGGACGAACAACTAAGTCCTTCAGGGGTACTTCTGAGTTAAAAAATGCTCATGACATACGTATGTGGAGTAACCAGGTAGGTAGGTTTTAACGTTGTAAATCTGCAACGCCTGCCTCCAGAGGGTTAAATCAACATAATGAATTCAATGTGATTTTAGACACAAATGAAAATTTCATGTGTGTGCATTTTTATGACTTTGTTTTTCTGTGGTGATTCACCTTTTGTGCCAAGAGGAAGCTTTAATTAATTTATAGGAAAGAAATCTACAAATCTAATCTGCAACAAACCAAAAGACTTTGCGAGGAAGTGAGAAAAGATAAAGAGTCCAGGCTGGTTGTGTTATGTTGTAGAGGTTGGTGTGCTTTTTCTTATCAGTCCACCATTGTGTTTTTAAGTTCTGGACTTTTAAAAAGTAAAGGTACTTCCTTGCAGCAGCATGGGTGTGGATCCCTCTCTTGAACCTCCCTTCTCCAACTCCTTTTTTTTCTTCCCTCCCTTCTTGCTTTGCTGTCTCCTCAGAGAGGCACACCCTTTACAGCCAGGACAAAAAAAAAAAAAAGATACAGAAACACACCGCAGACAGTTGTTGCAGCACGTCTCCTTTAATTTCAAAGTCTTGAATAGATATAAGAGCGTATGCATGCAAAATGAAAAGTACTGATCTTACCTTTTCTCTGACTGGCCAGGAAGTTGTGCAACGTTTTGGTATACGATCTAGAAAAATTCAGATTGGATCATTTTTATGGTAAAATATGTCACTGAAATGTAATGGATGTGTATCAAGATCTAATCTGTTTAGTTTTAGACCCAGTATATACTTTTTAAATGAATAAAAAGTAAATGTTGAGGTGTGTAAATGTTTTATGGTTTATTTTTTCTTAAAGTCCTAAAGAGACGAGGGTTTTTTCCCCTTTACCTTGAGTTTCTTAACCTGGGCTCCATGCCAGGGTGTGCGGGGGAAAGGATGGGAGGAAGAGGGGGAAGAGAGTCAGAGAGCGTGTTAGTGTGTGAGGGGGGATGGGCGGGACTGGGGTGAGGAGGGGAGTTATGGAATGTAGTGGTTTGGAAAGACAAGCTAATTGAAACCAGGTTTGAGGCAAAGAGAGGGGAGCAAAGCTTTAGCACTTTTGGGGAAACAGGAATAAAGTCTTAGACACTGAAAAGCTGAGCACCTTTCTGAACTATATGATATCTGAGGGGCGTCTTTGTTACGTATCATGACAAAAAAGATCTTCCGGTGCTTGATTTAAAGTATGAATTTAAGTTGCAAAAGAGGATTATAAGATGAGACCTAATCCTTTGTAGAACCTCGGTTGAAATTTCACTGTTGGCATTTGCCTTCCTTCATAGCTCCCTCTTGCCACACCCAAAGCTCTGAGCTGCTTTCTGCACAGCTCTGTACAGAGTGTTTACCTCACACACTTAAACTACGTTTAGTGCCTTACAGCCGTAAACGTGTGGCATGTCTCAAATTGCCCTTGTCAGTGTGATTGATGATGCCAGTCAACTTGAGGGGCCAAATTGTCACATGGAGCTAAAATCTTTCGGAAAACTTCTGTCAAAATTTATATTTGAAGTCAGTCAAAGAACCTTGAAGGTGCGTAACTAAAAAGACAGGATACATAACAAGCGTTATTCAGATGCTAACATTTTGTTCCAAACTGTCAAAGGCTGAAATGCTTGTCAGTTAACAGCGTTTCGGTTTAGCCTGTGGGCAGATGCTGTTTGTCTAAATACATCCACTGTCTACCAACACTGCAGCACAGAGCCCACATTATGTTTTCACCTGAACTAATGTAACCCCTTTGGAATTTTAAAAACCATACAAGGAATTTATCAAAGATCTCTGCTGGTCACATTTTACTTAGTCATAATTAGAGATGTAAGAAAATATCAATACAGCAATACATCGGGATATTCTTTCCTGCAATATTTTATCAATATTCAACAGCCGTGTATCGGATTTTTGCAAGAATTTACATGCAAACATTTGTGTATTGTTTTTCTTTTGGTGCAATTCAAAAGCAGACCACTAGCGAGCAGCAGTGTGCAACCGGTTTTGTTTCTACCACTGAAATTTAAATTCCTTTATTATGGTTCAAATAACTCATGTTAAACATGTTACGTATCAGTTTGGACTGTTTATTGAATTTTCCTACAATAAATTCAATGTAAAAAATCTCTAATATTGTCTAGCTGAATGTATATATCGTATATATACATATATACATACATCTTTATATATATATATATATATATATATATATATATATATATATATATATATATATATATATATATATACACACACATATATATATATATAGATGTGCGTGATATATTCTATCATCTCCCCTGTATCGCGATACTTATCGTATCGCCATCATTTCGCCAATACACATCCCTAGTCATAATAGTGACAGTACCAGCTGATTGCATTTTTCATTCACATTTGGTTGCACTTGCCATCTGCAGCATCTTAGGGGCACTGATGAGAAGGTCGTGCCTCATGATTGCTAGGCGCCTTTTGGGTGGAGATGATTATTATGGTACATGTTTTGTTAGGGAGCTGCTGACTGACAGCAGGAACAAGAGGAGTGGAGCTACTCAAACGTGCCAGAGTGAAACTTAAGGAAACTGGTCTCGAGCACACTTCCTCTGCCATTTCCGCATGGGCTTGTTGAGCTGTTGGTTAGAAAAAAAAGGGACAGTGTGGGTTGACAAAAAGAGGCTGGTGGAAGTCGTGAATTAGTTCCAGTATAGCTCTTGGAACTAACTCGTTGTTCGACCTAAAGGCTTGGTTCAAGCTCAGATCCCCTTCTGTTGCAAATAAGCATTTTGCTGTGGTGTTTTGCTGTGGTGTCCAATTTTAGATTTAGTTCTATGAGGCAGTTCAAAAGCAGCCACTCCCTTCCCACCCATCCATTGCTGGTTTGGAATGTTCTATATGTACTCAATACTCTCTGGAGCCCTTATCATTTCTGCTGCTTGCCTTGTTGTTGAAAAATAGCTTTTTGAGTGTTTTGATGAGACAGCTAACACAAGTCACACATAATATACCATGCCAGGACACACCCATGTGTGCGTATGCAATTCAGGCTCTGAAATTTGCAGCATTGTCTTTGGCTGGGCTTTAGCACAGATCTCAAAAAGGGTGTGAGACATTTTGTTCTGATAAGCCAATAACTTACACGATTCCTCTTCTAAACATCTGCATCACAGAACATCCCCCAACACCATAAGTCTTATATAACTGCTGCAGTACTGCACACACCCTGCCTGGCTTTCACCGTTTGACCCGTCATGTTGCTCCATACGAGGAATGGCACGTAGCATCTGTTTCCAAAACTCTTTGGAATGGGTACACGAGAACTGGAATGCAAATCTGGAAAAGCATTCAGCTGTGTTTAGGTTTTCTTTATCTGGCACTGGATACTCAAGGTTGGCACCCATCACTTCCAAACATGCTCTTCTGCTTTAAAAAAAAACGAATGGACTTTAAATCTAAATGCACATCCTCTGCTCTGCTAGAAATATGTGTTCTGCAGCTAAACAAGAGACCTTAGGCCTTAGTATTTATCCAATCTGCTGTTCTGCCCTAAGCCCCCTTCCTCCATGAATGGATTTATGTTTGTTTTACTGTAAACAGCAGGTGTGCAGGACTAGGGTTGGGTCTAAAGGAATTACATAATAAACCCATTTTACCATTGTTGTTTCAAAATAAGTGTTATTCTCTCTGCCTCTGGGTTTAGGTAACATTTCTGTTTTTTTCCATTATTTATGACTGTTCATTGCTCAATGTTCTTGGCTCTGAACTGATCTGCTGGCTTGAGATCAGGATCATTTCTCATTTCAGAACAGAATAGTTTTTTTTAAAACGTTACTTAAGTATTCTTTCAAACTCCAACATTGCCAAACCACATTTTGTGATTTCATAAGAGTGCAATTTGTAAAAATCTTCCCCAAAGCATTTATCAATAAGGAAAAAGTGGGAGAACTGCATATAGAAGGAATTTAAAATAAGATCCTCCCTGCTTGTGTGTCAAAGGGTATAATATACATCAAAGTAATAACAGCCATGAGCTATCCCACACCTCTTTAGATAAAACCCTTCAGTTAGCATTCTTCTGAGAGTATATCATATAACCAAAACTATAAATCACATCACTGAAGGATGAGTTGCAGTGTGCTTTCAGTGCTGGTTGGCCGTGTTTGTGATCTTGTAAAAGCAAGAGAATAACTTTTTTATTATTTTTTTTTCCATTTGTTTCTTGACTCCTACCAAAGTCACAATGGTTTAATCAGCAGTCGTCCAAACTGGCGTCAGTGGGAAAGCTTTGGTCTTACACAGGACTTGTGGTTTCATTCAGGGTTATGTGAACACTGAGAGCAGACAGAACCCATTTGTTTTGATGCTCATTCCTTTCATATGCGTCATACATTTATAGCCTATCTGCTTCTTCGAGGGAGGACTGAAGGCCGAGGCCTGGTGTGTCTCTTTTTCTGTTTATTTTACTTGCTGTGTCAAAGTAAAATGCAGTGAGGGGAACAGGGAGTCTATTCTTGTTTGGACCACAAGACCGATTCTGGTTATTACTACTTGTTACTTCTGTGACTCACGGCACTAAGGTCTTATTTATGCTCATAATCAAATCTCATCACTTGCCAGCTCTGCTGTGTTTGATATACTTAGAGATACAATCTAATCTTTGTCACATTGCCCCTTTTTTGTGCACCAAATTGATTGGATCAAGCATTACGCTCATTGGACGAACTTCAACCACTTATACGTTTTCACTGCACTGTGACCTACTTAAGTGAAGATTACAAAAGGTAAACAGTTATGTGCCCTCAGGAGTTTGTCAAAGGGGTGGGACGAAGAAATGAGCTAGAAGGAACGAGTGTGTTCTGCTGTTGCGTCAGTAAAACACATGGGTGAAACGACAGTCATGATTGTCATTCTAACCATAGCAATTCAGTCCGTCCTTATCAGAGTTCATAGCTCATTCTTCGTTTAAAAATGCATTGCATGGTGCTTTTCTTTTTCTGAAAGTGTTTTGGTCTATTTGAGCAGAAGCTGTAGGTTGGAGGTGTGGTTGGTTGCGGGCACTCATGCAGAAATCAGGGTGGGCTGTGTAGAATGAAGTTGGAATTAGTTTGAGAGAATGTAGACATTTCTTTGGAGTTAGTCACTGTAGGGAGAGGCTGGGCGGCCTTCCAGCTGGCCTGACAGCTCTATCAAGGAATGTGTTTGACTGGAGGGCTGGGTGGGGTTGTGTAGTGAGCTGCAAACTCCACTAGTAAAGTCACAGAAGCAAGGCAACGTGAATGTTGTTGTGGCGTGAGTTGCTGTATTTTGTTTTGGACAGCATGGGTTCTCATATGCTTTCACCAATGTTGGTGCTCAATACCTGTAATCTGTACCTGTACAGTGTCACAAAGGCCCAGAGGGTGGGGCATCTTATATTATCATTTGAGTTGATTTAAAATAAGATAACAGTAAAATGACTATTCCGATACTTTTTCACAGGTATAAAAATCACCTTCCACCAATAATCTCTCTCAGCTTACCTTTGCAAAATGTCAGTTAGATGACACCTGAAGGAGTCCTGACGTGGCAGCCTGATTAACTCATCTCTGTAACAAGAGTATCAGCTGAAAGTGTGCACAGCTGCTGTTGTGTTGATCTATGCACACAAACATGACTACCATGTACTGGTTCTACTCAGCTAGTTCATTATTAGAATAATTCAAAATGACTATCAATAACAATCGATTCTAAAAAAATTTAAATAAAAAAATACATTACTTTGCAGTTAAGCAACATGTTTTAACACTTTATCCTAATGAACTAAATACATATTAAACCTGGAAACCTAAGAAATATTTCTAGGTCTCGGACATTGTTATTCACCAGTCATTTCCCAAAGTAATGAACACTTTAGATTATTAAACATTGGGCATTGTAAAGTTAATAATGGCTTGGAGAGAATATTTCTGGGGACATGTTCCCACTGGTAGATGCCTTTCTGCAAACACACCAAGTCTGGTTCTGTTTGTACTCTGGCTGAAAGAGAAGGCTTTGTTTCACAATGCACCACTAGGTTGACACAATAATAATCCTTGTAAGACCTTTAAGAAGTTGGGCCAGTTACAGCGAGCAGAAGAAAGATTGACTTGGCACGAAGAATTGACATGCTTTTGTACTGCACAAATTTATAATTTGAGCTATGGAAACGGCTCTGTGGTGGTGCATTTCCTTTCTGAATTCCCTTAAATCTGGATTTTCCCTTTAAAGTCTCATTATAATTTTTGATCCTGGGTAGCTTGAGTAAACAGGTCCATCTATTCTTCCTGTCTCCTAAAATTAGGGCAACACCTTACAAGTATTAGGACCTATTTACTTAAAGGGAGTTTTACATGATTGCTCAGTATTGCTACCAATAGTGGGGATGAGATGCTTGTGTATGGAGGCCAAAATGTATGTTTTACTTCATGTGCACTTTTGGGTAACATATGAAGAATACATTTCATTATTTGAGCTTGTGATTGAAACATGACATGTTATTGCAGAAAAAACATGCAACCTCTATTGAACCTTAACAGAATTTTTTTAGTTTTAATTTTCATTTAAAAACTTTTCTTTTTGTTTACAGAAGTCAAGAATTGAGCACACAAGCAGCAGATAGACGCCCTTGGCTTTGCTTGAGCAATCCAAGGTAAGTGTCCATCAATGTAATATCTAAGATCAACACACCACATCTGTAGTTAGGCATACAAAAAATCCTTGAACTTCCCTCACCCCAAGTTAAGATGATCAGATGTCCCACAAATTGAGACACTGTCTGCATTAATGACACTATTCCACATCATGTTTAAATCTTGCATTTAAACACAAACCAGAGGCTGTAAATCAAACTAGAAAGTGGGACTTTAACACAGGTCCGGAGTGCGTGGAACACTCACGTGAGCCACCAAAACACAAGGAAACAACCAAGTGAGCATGGAGGACGGAGAGATGAGCATAGGTTAAAGGGAGAGACTGACAGTTGGTACTAAATTATGTGAGAACATGTTGGTCAAAAGCAGGGCTGCCAGTAATTAGACAGTTTCTGGGTTTGTGCCATTTTAAAAACATACAAACTAAAATATTTTAAAACACATTAAAGAAATACTGAGAGAATTGATTTGAAGGATTGATGACTCATTCTCAGAATTTTGAGAAAAAATAATCTGAATTCTAAGAATAAATCAAACTTTTTCAGAGATTAAAGGCAGTGATGGATTTCTCTTCCCTAAATATCTACTATAAGAAATATGAGATGTAGATATTAGTGGAAAATTAAATATTAATCTACAAATGTTTACTGGCACATTTAATGTCATTGTGTTGTGGGAATTTAGTACAGTTATTCAATGAAAACTCTGAACCTGCATTTTGTATTGTAGGCCTATCTAGACTGTTAAAAAGTTAATTGTTTTAACATACATTTTAGCTAAAGTTATTCAGAGCCACTGTAGAAGGTGCCTGAGTTAGTTTGTTGTAACAAGAGAGGAAATGTGAAAAAGCTAAAAGCTTTTGCTGTTGTAAGTGTTTAAGTGGAATAGAAGTGAAATATGTAACAATAACAACAACAACAACAATATTATGTATATTTAACAGTTATGTTAGAGCTAAAATGCCTAATGGACCTTTTTCTTCACTTACTTTTTTACTTCATCTCATTGCACTGGAATTTTTCGTTGCCCTAGTATCTGTGCCACATGTTGGTCACCCTACTCTAAATCCAGTTTATTTGTAAATCACTGATTATAAAACAACAAAGTGTACCAAATTGCTGTACAGTAAAAAACTCAAACATTAAAGAAATACATTGGCACAAAGACCAATCAGCATCATCATCAGCTTTATGTATAATGAACTTTTCATCAGCTAGAAGATTAACGCAAGTGCAATGTCACTTAATCTATGTACTGCATGGCCAGACATCAAACTACTGTTGGAATGTTTGCCTTTGAACCGAAATGGTCATGTGATCACTGTGTTCAGCAGTCAGAGAGCCTTACTTGTGAAATCCTGACATTTGGCCATTGTGGCTGTTTGAACCCCTTTTTCCCCCACCTTTTTCCTTTAGCAAGTGACCACCTGCTCCATGGAAACTATTTTTATCATGTTAAAGGTTTGACAAGCACACAGTTTGTTTGATTTCTATTGAAAAAAAAATTGAAAATAAATATGTTTCTGCACGTCAACAACATGGCATGTAGAGCCTAAAACGTACTGTGGTTGTATTTTAATAGCAGAAGCTTTAGTCTGGCATGCTTCCCCACACCCCCCTTTCCCAAGACACATACCAGACCCTAATAAAACATGACAGACTGACAAGCTCCTCTGTCTCATTTTACTTTTATTTTTGAAGGCCTCCATTATTTTTTATAGATTTTAATTATTCGTTTTATTCTTGGTCAAATGCATTTTTTTTCTAGACAGCCTTATTGAAGTTCCTTTACACGGCATGACAGAATAACATGGTAAATGAGAAAAAAGGAGAAAAAATGTAGAACAAGTTGATTAAGTTGTCTGATCATTCAGAGTCACATGCTGCTTGTCTCTCTTATGATTTCAAGATCAAAGGCGTATTTATTCAGTAGCTGTTTACAGTACCGTCCATATCTAATCACATATGAGTAATCTGAATCAGGTTTATTGCTCTACCTTCAGCTGTTATTTATGCAGCATAGAAGAGGTCTTTAATGTTAAGCTTGTGCAGAGACGCTGAAAGAAGGGATACATGATGCTAAACCAAAACAAATCATGTGAATATTCAGTTGTTCTGAGCAGTGTGGAGAGGTTTCTAAAGAAAAACATTTTCTATTTGAATTTGTAGACACATTTTTTAATCACTGCTCATTAGTTTTACAATTTCTTGCAGTATTTTTTCCATTTTTTGTCTTTTATTGTTTCCATTTCTTCTGTATCTCCCCTGTCTCTGTTCCTTCCTCCCATCCAGTAATGCTGCATTAGCTTCTCCCAAGACTTGTTTCTAGAAATAAGACTGAACCATTCATTTTTGATCACCAGAAGGTTTAGTCTAAAAAACAAAATTCTGCAGGAAAAAAAAAAAGATTATAAACAACAATATTAATTATAAAAGGCACACAAAGCCAAAGTGATATAGAAAGCTTTTTCCTGAGACACTGTCTTTGGGAATGAGAGGTGTAGAAATCAACAAAATGTGTTTTATTTTTCTTTCATCTAAATGCTAAATAAATAAAATTGTGCATTGCTTGATGGCTCATAATTTACTACCTTCTCTAATATTGCCAGTAATCCTAAACAAAAGTAAAATAAATTTAATCAAGTGAAAAGCACAAGAATCATCAGTTATTTTGGTCCTTTTTTATTGAAATAATCAAGACAGGTTGTAGATATGTGAACTGTGTTTTAAGTAATAGTAAAAACTTTTTTAAGTTTGTTCAGTTAAAACAGTGAAAGGGCGATAAAAAAAATTCTATAGCTTAACATATGGCACAGTTAATGCCAAATGTTTGCCCTTGTATCTCACTGATAGTTGATGCTTATTATAGTCTATCTTGAGATGGTCACATTTGAAGCCTTGGTTGGGTCACACTGAAAGCCACAATGAGCTGAGGTAGAAAGGTAGAAAACATTGGAAAAAGAAGAGCACATGTTTTCGATACCTGCAAATTAATCTTGGCTTATAATAACAACCTACTTTCTGACATGACACTCTGAGTGACCTTGGTGTGTTAAAAACGTCCAGAGAATCTGCAAAAGGCTATTTTAGAGAGTGGTTTAGTATTACCTCAAAGCATTGCATGCATTCTCCAGCATCCCTAACACACAAGAGTAGTCTATTTATTGACTTGTGATAATTAATGGTTTAACTCTTGGAAAGTGTCCCATGTGTGTTGCAAAATCTGTCAGACAAATCTGCATTGCCAGGGTTTTAAAAGCACATCTTACAGGAAGACTCATTTAAATACGTACATATAAATGAACGAATAAATAAATAGATGTGTGTGGGTGAGTGAGTGTGCGTGCCTGCGTGTGTGTGTGCACGTGCACCCACACGTGTGTGTGTGTGTGTAAGTTTGTTTTATTTTCGATGTGAAGTAATATTGGTTTCCTCACAACTAATCAGTTTCATGTTACTCCTAATATTTTTTCAGAAAGTAATAAAGTCACTCTGGAATAAGTGTGTAGAGAAACAGTGTAATCTATTTCAATATGATTAAAAGCAGGAAAAATATAATTGAAATGTAAATGTTGTGTTGCTAGTACTGCTTTGTGGCCAGCAACATTGGGCAGTTACACACCCAAACTCTAATGGCAGCATATTTCCTCCCACTGCTTCATCAAACTAATCTGGTTGGAAATTGTTCAAAATGATACAAAATAAAATTACAGGAAATATCAACTTAACATACAATGACAGTGGTTTTCATAAACAAAGAGAATACCCAGTCTTATATGGGCATATTCCTCTGTATACTTTCTTATTTGCAAGGTAATTTGGGAAAGGTATGCATTAACACATAACTTTAATCCCTCATGCTTATTACCATGTGTATATTTCTATAGTGAATTTTTGCACTTTTGTGTTTGCTTTTTCATAAAGCCGGGCAGCTTTATCTATCATTGCTCTTTATATTGACTTTGAAGCTGGGGCACATGATTTGGCTGCTCTCCTCAGAGAAGGGTGTGGCCTGACTTGAACCAAATTTCCAAAACATACACTGTAGTTCAAGAGAGAGGGAGCTGGCAGAAAGAGTTTTACCTCCATCTAGTGGTAAGCTATGTGCCTTTTGACTGAGCAACCCAGCATATGGTAATGCTAAACCTTTGACCATGGCTATTTTAGACTTTTTTTTCTTAAAAGGAAAACTTTGTCAAAAACAAATTAATTATTAATTTGATTCAAACTTTCTATTGTTTTCTTCTTTATGCAGGAAAACAACAGCTTCATTGTTGTCACGCCAGGGTGGAAAAAGAGAAAAACAAAAACAAGGTATGTATTTCAAAACTGAGGTGCAAATAAAATATTTTCACTTAGTTGATCATGCATTTAACTAATATTTTTAAATATTTATTTATTTTCCTTTAAATTATTTTTTTATGTACTTCTCTGTACAGATGGCTGAAGACGAGGATACCAGAGAGGTACTCTTTCCAGACTGGGAGGGTCCAGACAAAACTGGATTGACTATCGAACAGGCAAGCGGAGGAGAGCTTTTAGTAAAAAAAGTAAAAGGAGAGTCACCTGCAGCACGGTCTGGAAAAGTGTATGAAGGTAACTAAATCTTGTTTACAACTTCATATTGAATCTTTTATTTTGATGACAAATGTTAATATTGCTACCTCATCTTATTTTATAGGTGACCATATTGTGGGTGCCACTATTTACTTTGACAACATGAGCTCAGAAGAGACAGCAGAACTACTGAAGACATTGAATCGACACAAAGTTGGACTGAAATTACAAAACAAAGGAGACAAATCTCCTTGCTATTCTCCTTTGAGCACACCATGTCGTTCCCCAATGGGCACTCTCACATGGGAAGGGAAGACGCACTTTGGGGGATCAAGTCCAGATGTCATTCTCGTAAGTAACTTTTTTGACTGTATGACAACTTGAATGTTGAATAATTCTGAACAAGTATGTTATTCTAACATATTCATGTATCGAACTTTTGAAATTAACAGAGTGGGGATGATGAGGACTACAAGAGAATCTACTCCAGGAAGATTAAACCACGGTTGAAGTCTGAAGACCTTGCAGAGGGAGTGGATGTTCGTACAGAGCGGCATAGCAGCACAAGCAGTGATGGAAGCACAATTACGACCGTCACTCGTCGCATCACTACCTACACAGTGGAAATGCCAAGTGGCATAAGTGAGAAACTAGAACTTTCAAGTCCAGAGTTGAAAAGATTACGACACGAACCTGGAGATGGCTCCTCTCAAATAAGAGTCCTGCATGGCAGTTCTTCAGGTAAAACAGAAGGAGAAGAGGGAGTTTTCGAGTCAAGCAATGTGAGTTACACTGTGCCGCAAGTCAGTTCCACAGAAACACAACAGGAAATTTGGGAAGATAAAACAACAATTACAGGAGAGGGAGAACAGCCTCAGACAGATCTCAGATTCAAAGGGCCTACCATTAAACTTGGCGGGTATAAAGGCACAAAAGTTTTAGGAGGGAGCAGAGAGCAAGGTGATATCAGTATGTATGGCTCAGAAACACCAAGAGACAGCACAAGCTCTGGTTCAAAGCATGTGATAACAGGAGGGTATGGAGGGACAGAATTTGTCTCAAATGATGAAAATGATGAAAACAGAGAGTCATTAAGTGTGTCATTACCAGGAAAAAACATAAAAATTTCAACTACAAGATTTGATAAATCACAGATGGGAGATTCATACTCCAGTTTGGGTGAGAAAACAGTATTGACATCTGAAGTCAACTTCAGCCATCAACCAAAAACAGGTTCAAGTGATTTTAATGTCATAACTGGGACTGAATCAGCAAATGTTGATGCTAACTTAAGACCAAGGATCACAATAGGTAATGTTACCACAGGTTATTCCTCACAACCAGGCAAGACATCATTGACTAATTGGGATATGAGTCACAAGGGTTCAAAGTTGACAAGTAAGATTGAAGGTGAAGGAGAAACAGTTGTGCCCAGAGAAGAAAATAAAAGTAAAGACATAAATGTTGAGCACAAAGGTGATTTAAAAACATCTCATATAAAGATGCCATCCATCAAAACAACTACAAATGATGAAAGTGAAGCAGACCTTCAACTGAAATTAAAGAAAGATTTTAGTGGGACAAAAAGTGATTTTGACATGGATGCTTGTAAAATGCCTTCAGTAAACATAAAAGGTCCAAAAGTTGATAATGCAGGGTTTAATTTAAACCTCAAAGGCAGTAAAGTTGATGGTGAAACTTTTTCGACTATCAAAACATCAGAACAACATTCTGAAGGAGATATTGAAGCAAAAACTTTGGAAATTGAGGGATACAAGAATGGTGATGAAAAATCTAAATTTAAGATGCAAAAGTTTGGAATAAAAGGTTCAGAACTAAAATGTGGGGATGTTGACGTCAACCTTAATAAAGCAAAAACTGATGTGAAAGCATCCACAGTTGATATTAAGGAACCAAATGTTGACGTTGAGAGACAAAATACAAAAATCAAAGGAACCATATACACCATGCCAACTCTCTCTGGACCCAAAATCTCCATGCCAGATGTGAATGTCAGTTTGAAAGGCCCTACACTACAGGATGACATGGATGCTTCAGCACCAAACATTAAGGGAGATATAAAAAAACAAGACTTTCACATCAAGGGCCCAAAAGTTGGTATTGAAGGGCCGAAAGGTGGTTTTGAAATGCCTTCAATCAAAATGCCATCACTGAACATTAAAGGACCAGATGTTGACATTGAGGGACCAAATGCAAAACTCAAAGGACCCAAATTCAACATGCCTACTCTCTCCGGACCCAAAATGTCCATGCCAGATGTTGACTTCAACTTGAAAGGCCCCAAACTAAAGGGTGATATGGATGTTTCAGTACCAAGTATTGAAGGTGAAATGAAGACATCTGACCTGCATATAATGGGACCAAAAGTTGATATTGAAGGGCAAAAAGGTGGTTTTGAAGGGCCTTCAATCAAAATGCCATCAGTGAACATTAAAGGTCCTAAGTTCGGAAGTCCAGATGTTGACATTAACCTGAAAGAACCTAAACTTGAGGGTGGCATGGGTATTATTTTGCCAAAAGTCAAAGAAGATATTAAAGCTCCAAATATAGACATTGAAGGGCCTGATTTGGACATTAAAGGACACAAAGGAGGATTTACCATGCCAAAAATAGGAATAAAAGGTCCAAAAATGGAAGGTCCAGACGTTGATGTAAACCTGCCAAAAGCAAATATTGACATGAAAGCACCTGAAGTTGATATCAAAGGACCAGTTGTTGATATTGAAGGGCCAAATGCAAAACTAAAAGGACCCAAATTCAACATGCCAACTATGTCTGGACCAAAAATCTCCATGCCAGATGTGGACTTCAACCTGAAAGGCCCAAAACTAAAAGGTGACATTGATGTTTCAGCACCAAAGATTGAAGGTGATATAAAAGCATCTGACATTGACATAAAGGCTCCAAAAGTTGATATTGAAGGGCCGAAAGGTGGTTTTGAAATGCCTTCAATCAAAATGCCATCACTGAACATTAAAGGTCCAAAGTTTGGAAGTCCAGATGTTGACATTAACCTGAAAGGCCCTAAACTTGAGGGTGACATGGATGTTAATTTGCCAAAAATGAAAGGAGATATAACAGCTCCAAGTGCAGATATTGAAGGACCAGATTTGGACATTGAAGGCTCAGATTTGGACATTGAAGGACACAAAGGTGGCTTTAAAATGCCCAAAATTAAAATGCCAACATTTGGAATTAAAAGCCCGAAACTAGAAGGTCCCGATGTTGATGTCAACCTGCCAAAAGCAAATATTGATGTGAAAGCACCTGAAGTAGACATCAAAGGACCATATGTTGACATTGAGGGACCAAATGCAAAACTCAAAGAACCCAAATTCAACATGCCTACTCTCTCTGGACCCAAAATTTCCATGCCAGATGTTGACTTCAACCTGAAAGGCCCCAAACTAAAGGGTGATATGGATGTTTCAGCACCAAAGATCGAAGGTGAGATAAAGACACCTGACATTGACTTCAAAGCTCCAAAAGTTGATATTGAAGGGCCAAAAGGTGGTTTTGAAATGCCTTCAATCAAAATGTCCTCTCTGAATATTAAAGGTCCAAAGTTTGGAAGTCCAGATGTTGACATTAACCTGAAAGGCCCTAAACTTGAGGGTGACATGGATGTTAATTTACCAAAAATCCAAGGAGATATCAAAGCTCCAAGTGTAGACATTGAAGGGCCAGATTTGGACATTGAAGGACACAAAGGTGGCTTTAAAATGCCCAAAATTAAAATGCCAACATTTGGAATGAAAGGCCCGAAACTGGAAGGTCCTGATTTTGATGTCAACCTGCCAAAAGCAAATATTGATGTGAAAGCACCTGAAGTAGACATCAAAGGACCAGATGTTGACATTGAGGGACCAAATGCAAAACTCAAAGGACCCAAATTCAACATGCCTTCTCTCTCTGGACCCAAAATTTCCATGCCAGATGTTGACTTCAACCTGAAAGGCCCCAAACTAAAGGGTGATATGGATGTTTCAGCACCAAAGATCGAAGGTGAGATAAAGACACCTGACCTTGACATCAAAGCTCCAAAAGTTGATATTGAAGGGCCAAAAGGTGGTTTTGAAATGCCTTCAATCAAAATGCCATCTCTGAATATTAAAGGTCCAAAGTTTGGAAGTCCAGATGTTGACATTAACCTGAAAGGCCCTAAACTTGAGGGTGACATGGATGTTAATTTACCAAAAATCAAAGGAGATATCAAAGCCCCAAGTGTAGACATTGAAGGGCCAGATTTGGACATTGAAGGACACAAAGGTGGCTTTAAAATGCCCAAAATTAAAATGCCAACATTTGGAATTAAAAGCCCAAAACTGGAAGGTCCCGATGTTGATGTCAACCTGCCAAAAGCAAATATTGATGTGAAAGCACCTGAAGTAGACATCAAAGGACCAGATGTTGACATTGAGGGACCAAATGCAAAACTCAAAGGACCCAAATTCAACATGCCTACTCTCTCTGGACCCAAAATTTCCATGCCAGATGTTGACTTCAACCTGAAAGGCCCCAAACTAAAGGGTGATATGGATGTTTCAGCACCAAAGATCGAAGGTGAGATAAAGACACCTGACATTGACATCAAAGCTCCAAAAGTTGATATTGAAGGGCCAAAAGGTGGTTTTGAAATGCCTTCAATCAAAATGCCATCTCTGAATATTAAAGGTCCAAAGTTTGGAAGTCCAGATGTTGACATTAACCTGAAAGGCCCTAAACTTGAGGGTGACATGGATGTTAATTTACCAAAAATCCAAGGAGATATCAAAGCTCCAAGTGTAGACATTGAAGGGCCAGATTTGGACATTGAAGGACACAAAGGTGGCTTTAAAATGCCCAAAATTAAAATGCCAACATTTGGAATGAAAGGCCCGAAACTGGAAGGTCCCGATGTTGATGTAAACCTGCCAAAAGCAAATATTGATGTGAAAGCACCTAAAGTAGACATCAAAGGACCAGATGTTGACATTGAGGGACCAAATGCAAAACTCAAAGGACCCAAATTCAACATGCCTACTCTCTCTGGACCCAAAATTTCCATGCCAGATGTTGACTTCAACCTGAAAGGCCCCAAACTAAAGGGTGATATGGATGTTTCAGCACCAAAGATCAAAGGTGAGATAAAGACACCTGACCTTGACATCAAAGCTCCAAAAGTTGATATTGAAGGGCCAAAAGGTGGTTTTGAAATGCCTTCAATCAAAATGCCATCTCTGAATATTAAAGGTCCAAAGTTTGGAAGTCCAGATGTTGACATTAACCTGAAAGGCCCTAAACTTGAGGGTGACATGGATGTTAATTTACCAAAAATCCAAGGAGATATCAACGCTCCAAGTGTAGACATTGAAGGGCCAGATTTGGACATTGAAGGACACAAAGGTGGCTTTAAAATGCCCAAAATTAAAATGCCAACATTTGGAATGAAAGGCCCAAAACTGGAAGGTCCCGATGTTGATGTCAACCTGCCAAAAGCAAATATTGATGTGAAAGCACCTGAAGTAGACATCAAAGGACCAGATGTTGACATTGAGGGACCAAGTGCAAAACTCAAAGGACCCAAATTCAACATGCCTACTCTCTCTGGACCCAAAATTTCCATGCCAGATGTTGACTTCAACCTGAAAGGCCCCAAACTAAAGGGTGATATGGATGTTTCAGCACCAAAGATCGAAGGTGAGATAAAGACACCTGACCTTGACATCAAAGCTCCAAAAGTTGATATTGAAGGGCCAAAAGGTGGTTTTGAAATGCCTTCAATCAAAATGCCATCTCTGAATATTAAAGGTCCAAAGTTTGGAAGTCCAGATGTTGACATTAACCTGAAAGGCCCTAAACTTGAGGGTGACATGGATGTTAATTTATCAAAAATCCAAGGAGATATCAAAGCCCCAAGTGTAGACATTGAAGGGCCAGATTTGGACATTGAAGGACACAAAGGTGGCTTTAAAATGCCCAAAATTAAAATGCCAACATTTGGAATGAAAGGCCCGAAACTGGAAGGTCCTGATTTTGATGTCAACCTGCCAAAAGCAAATATTGATGTGAAAGCACCTGAAGTAGACATCAAAGGACCAGATGTTGACATTGAGGGACCAAATGCAAAACTCAAAGGACCCAAATTCAACATGCCTACTCTCTCTGGACCCAAAATTTCCATGCCAGATGTTGACTTCAACCTGAAAGGCCCCAAACTAAAGGGTGATATGGATGTTTCAGCACCAAAGATCGAAGGTGAGATAAAGACACCTAACCTTGACATCAAAGCTCCAAAAGTTGATATTGAAGGGCCAAAAGGTGGTTTTGAAATGCCTTCAATCAAAATGCCATCTCTGAATATTAAAGGTCCAAAGTTTGGAAGTCCAGATGTTGACATTAACCTGAAAGGCCCTAAACTTGAGGGTGACATGGATGTTAATTTATCAAAAATCCAAGGAGATATCAAAGCTCCAAGTGTAGACATTGAAGGTCCAGATTTGGACATTGAAGGACACAAAGGTGGCTTTAAAATGCCCAAAATTAAAATGCCAACATTTGGAATGAAAGGCCCGAAACTGGAAGGTCCTGATTTTGATGTCAACCTGCCAAAAGCAAATATTGATGTGAAAGCACCTGAAGTAGACATCAAAGGACCAGATGTTGACATTGAGGGACCAAATGCAAAACTCAAAGGACCCAAATTCAACATGCCTACTCTCTCTGGACCCAAAATTTCCATGCCAGATGTTGACTTCAACCTGAAAGGCCCCAAACTAAAGGGTGATATGGATGTTTCAGCACCAAAGATCGAAGGTGAGATAAAGACACCTGACATTGACATCAAAGCTCCAAAAGTTGATATTGAAGGGCCAAAAGGTGGTTTTGAAATGCCTTCAATCAAAATGCCATCTCTGAATATTAAAGGTCCAAAGTTTGGAAGTCCAGATGTTGACATTAACCTGAAAGGCCCTAAACTTGAGGGTGACATGGATGTTAATTTACCAAAAATCCAAGGAGATATCAAAGCTCCAAGTGTAGACATTGAAGGGCCAGATTTGGACATTGAAGGACACAAAGGTGGCTTTAAAATGCCCAAAATTAAAATGCCAACATTTGGAATAAAAGGCTCGAAACTGGAAGGTCCCGATGTTGATGTAAACCTGCCAAAAGCAAATATTGATGTGAAAGCACCTAAAGTAGACATCAAAGGACCAGATGTTGACATTGAGGGACCAAATGCAAAACTCAAAGGGCCCAAATTCAACATGCCTACTCTCTCTGGACCCAAAATTTCCATGCCAGATGTTGACTTCAACCTGAAAGGCCCCAAACTAAAGGGTGATGTGGATGTTTCAGCACCAAAGATCGAAGGTGAGATAAAGACACCTGACCTTGACATCAAAGCTCCAAAAGTTGATATTGAAGGGCCAAAAGGTGGTTTTGAAATGCCTTCAATCAAAATGCCATCTCTGAATATTAAAGGTCCAAAGTTTGGAAGACCAGATGTTGACATTAACCTGAAAGGCCCTAAACTTGAGGGTGACATGGATGTTAATTTACCAAAAATCAAAGGAGATATCAAAGCTCCAAGTGTAGACATTGAAGGGCCAGATTTGGACATTGAAGGACACAAAGGTGGCTTTAAAATGCCCAAAATTAAAATGCCAACATTTGGAATGAAAGGCCCAAAACTGGAAGGTCCCGATGTTGATGTCAACCTGCCAAAAGCAAATATTGATGTGAAAGCACCTGAAGTAGACAACAAAGGACCAGATGTTGACATTGAGGGACCAAGTGCAAAACTCAAAGGACCCAAATTCAACATGCCTACTCTCTCTGGACCCAAAATTTCCATGCCAGATGTTGACTTCAACCTGAAAGGCCCCAAACTAAAGGGTGATGTGGATGTTTCAGCACCAAAGATCGAAGGTGAGATAAAGACACCTGACCTTGACATCAAAGCTCCAAAAGTTGATATTGAAGGGCCAAAAGGTGGTTTTGAAATGCCTTCAATCAAAATGCCATCTCTGAATATTAAAGGTCCAAAGTTTGGAAGTCCAGATGTTGACATTAACCTGAAAGGCCCTAAACTTGAGGGTGACATGGATGTTAATTTACCAAAAATCAAAGGAGATATCAAAGCTCCAAGTGTAGACATTGAAGGGCCAGATTTGGACATTGAAGGACACAAAGGTGGCTTTAAAATGCCCAAAATTAAAATGCCAACATTTGGAATGAAAGGCCCAAAACTGGAAGGTCCCGATGTTGATGTCAACCTGCCAAAAGCAAATATTGATGTGAAAGCACCTGAAGTAGACAACAAAGGACCAGATGTTGACATTGAGGGACCAAGTGCAAAACTCAAAGGACCCAAATTCAACATGCCTACTCTCTCTGGGCCCAAAATTTCCATGCCAGATGTTGACTTCAACCTGAAAGGCTCCAAACTAAAGGGTGATATGGATGTTTCAGCACCAAAGATCGAAGGTGAGATAAAGACACCTGACCTTGACATCAAAGCTCCAAAAGTTGATATTGAAGGGCCAAAAGGTGGTTTTGAAATGCCTTCAATCAAAATGCCATCTCTGAATATTAAAGGTCCAAAGTTTGGAAGTCCAGATGTTGACATTAACCTGAAAGGTCCTAAACTTGAGGGTGACATGGATGTTAATTTATCAAAAATCCAAGGAGATATCAAAGCTCCAAGTGTAGACATTGAAGGGCCAGATTTGGACATTGAAGGACACAAAGGTGGCTTTAAAATGCCCAAATTTAAAATGCCAACATTTGGAATGAAAGGCCCGAAACTGGAAGGTCCTGATTTTGATGTCAACCTGCCAAAAGCAAATATTGATGTGAAAGCACCTGAAGTAGACATCAAAGGACCAGATGTTGACATTGAGGGACCAAATGCAAAACTCAAAGGGCCCAAATTCAACATGCCTACTCTCTCTGGACCCAAAATTTCCATGCCAGATGTTGACTTCAACCTGAAAGGCCCCAAACTAAAGGGTGATATGGATGTTTCAGCACCAAAGATCGAAGGTGAGATAAAGACACCTGACCTTGACATCAAAGCTCCAAAAGTTGATATTGAAGGGCCAAAAGGTGGTTTTGAAATGCCTTCAATCAAAATGCCATCTCTGAATATTAAAGGTCCAAAGTTTGGAAGTCCAGATGTTGACATTAACCTGAAAGGCCCTAAACTTGAGGGTGACATGGATGTTAATTTACCAAAAATCAAAGGAGATATAAAATCTCCAAGTGTAGACATTGAAGGGCCAGATTTGGACATTGAAGGACACAAAGGTGGCTTTAAAATGCCCAAAATTAAAATGCCAACATTTGGAATGAAAGGCTCGAAACTGGAAGGTCCCGATGTTGATGTCAACCTGCCAAAAGCAAATATTGATGTGAAAGCACCTAAAGTAGACATCAAAGGACCAGATGTTGACATTGAGGGACAAAATGCAAAACTCAAAGGGCCCAAATTCAACATGCCTACTCTCTCTGGACCCAAAATTTCCATGCCAGATGTTGACTTCAACCTGAAAGGCCCCAAACTAAAGGGTGATGTGGATGTTTCAGCACCAAAGATCGAAGGTGAGATAAAGACACCTGACCTTGACATCAAAGCTCCAAAAGTTGATATTGAAGGGCCAAAAGGTGGTTTTGAAATGCCTTCAATCAAAATGCCATCTCTGAATATTAAAGGTCCAAAGTTTGGAAGTCCAGATGTTGACATTAACCTGAAAGGCCCTAAACTTGAGGGTGACATGGATGTTAATTTACCAAAAATCAAAGGAGATATCAAAGCTCCAAGTGTAGACATTGAAGGGCCAGATTTGGACATTGAAGGACACAAAGGTGGCTTTAAAATGCCCAAAATTAAAATGCCAACATTTGGAATGAAAGGCCCAAAACTGGAAGGTCCCGATGTTGATGTCAACCTGCCAAAAGAAAATATTGATGTGAAAGAACCTGAAGTAGACATCAAAGGACCAGATGTTGACATGCAGGGACCAAGTGCAAAACTCAAAGGACCCAAATTCAACATGCCTACTCTCTCTGGACCCAAAATTTCCATGCCAGATGTTGACTTCAACCTGAAAGGCCCCAAACTAAAGGGTGATATGGATGTTTCAGCACCAAAGATCAAAGGTGAGATAAATACACCTGACCTTGACATCAAAGCTCCAAAAGTTGATATTGAAGGGCCAAAAGGTGGTTTTGAAATGCCTTCAATCAAAATGCCATCGCTGAATATTAAAGGTCCAAAGTTTGGAAGTCCAGATGTTGACATTAACCTGAAAGGCCCTAAACTTGAGGGTGACATGGATGTTAATTTACCAAAAATCCAAGGAGATATCAAAGCTCCAAGTGTAGACATTGAAGGGCCAGATTTGGACATTGAAGGACACAAAGGTGGCTTTAAAATGCCCAAATTTAAAATGCCAACATTTGGAATGAAAGGCCCGAAACTGGAAGGTCCCGATTTTGATGTCCACCTGCCAAAAGCAAATATTGATGTGAAAGCACCTGAAGTAGACATCAAAGGACCAGATGTTGACATTGAGGGACCAAATGCAAAACTCAAAGGACCCAAATTCAACATGCCTACTCTCTCTGGACCCAAAATTTCCATGCCAGATGTTGACTTCAACCTGAAAGGCCCCAAACTAAAGGGTGATATGGATGTTTCAGTACCAAAGATCGAAGGTGAGATAAAGACACCTGACCTTGACATCAACGCTCCAAAAGTTAATATTGAAGGGCCAAAAGGTGGTTTTGAAATGCCTTCAATCAAAATGCCATCTCTGAATATTAAAGGTCCAAAGTTTGGAAGTCCAGATGTTGACATTAACCTGAAAGGCCCTAAACTTGAGGGTGACATGGATGTTAATTTACCAAAAATCAAAGGAGATATAAAATCTCCAAGTGTAGACATTGAAGGGCCAGATTTGGACATTGAAGGACACAAAGGTGGCTTTAAAATGCCCAAAATTAAAATGCCAACATTCGGAATGAAAGGCCCAAAACTGGAAGTTCCCGATGTTGATGTCAACCCGCCAAAAGCAAATATTGATGTGAAAGCACCTAAAGTAGACATCAAAGGACCAGATTTTGACATTGAGGGACCAAATGCAAAACTCAAAGGGCCCAAATTCAACATGCCTACGCTCTCTGGACCCAAAATTTCCATGCCAGATGTTGACTTCAACCTGAAAGGCCCCAAACTAAAGGGTGATATGGATGTTTCAGTATCAAAGATCGAAGGTGAGATAAAGACACCTGACCTTGACATCAAAGCTCCAAAAGTTGATATTGAAGGGCCAAAAGGTGGTTTTGAAATGCCTTCAATCAAAATGCCATCTCTGAATATCAAAGGTCCAAAGTTTGGAAGTCCAGATGTTGACATTAACCTGAAAGGCCCTAAACTTGAGGGTGACATGGATGTTAATTTACCAAAAATCAAAGGAGATATAAAATCTCCAAGTGTAGACATTGAAGGGCCAGATTTGGACATTGAAGGACACAAAGGTGGCTTTAAAATGCCCAAAATTAAAATGCCAACATTTGGAATGAAAGGCCCGAAACTGGAAGGTCCCGATGTTGATGTAAACCTGCCAAAAGCAAATATTGATGTGAACGCACCTAAAGTAGACATCAAAGGACCAGATGTTGAAATTGAGGGACCAAATGCAAAACTCAAAGGACCCAAATTCAACATGCCTACTCTCTCTGGACCCAAAATTTCCATGCCAGATGTTGACTTCAACCTGAAAGGCCCCAAACTAAAAGGTGATATGGATGTTTCAGCACCAAAGATCGAAGGTGAGATAAAGACACCTGACCTTGACGTCAACGCTCCAAAAGTTGATATTGAAGGGCCAAAAGGTGGTTTTGAAATGCCTTCAATCAAAATGCCATCTCTGAATATTAAAGGTCCAAAGTTTGGAAGTCCAGATGTTGACATTAACCTGAAAGGCCCTAAACTTGAGGGTGACATGGATGTTAATTTACCCAAAATCAAAGGAGATATAAAATCTCCAAGTGTAGACATTGAAGGGCCAGATTTGGACATTGAAGGACACAAAGGTGGCTTTAAAATGCCCAAAATTAAAATGCCAACATTCGGAATGAAAGGCCCAAAACTGGAAGGTCCCGATGTTGATGTCAACCTGCCAAAAGCAAATATTGATGTGAAAGCACCTAAAGTAGACATCAAAGGACCAGATTTTGACATTGAGGGACCAAATGCAAAACTCAAAGGGCCCAAATTCAACATGCCTACTCTCTCTGGACCCAAAATTTCCATGCCAGATGTTGACTTCAACCTGAAAGGCCCCAAACTAAAGGGTGATATGGATGTTTCAGCACCAAAGATCGAAGGTGAGATAAAGACACCTGACTTTGACATCAAAGCTCCAAAAGTTGATATTGAAGGGCCAAAAGGTGGTTTTGAAATGCCTTCAATCAAAATGCCATCTCTGAATATTAAAGGTCCAAAGTTTGGAAGTCCAGATGTTGACATTAACCTGAAAGGCCCTAAACTTGAGGGTGACATGGATGTTAATTTGCCAAAAATCAAAGGAGATATAAAATCTCCAAGTGTAGACATTGAAGGGCCAGATTTGGACATTGAAGGACACAAAGGTGGCTTTAAAATGCCCAAAATTAAAATGCCAACATTTGGAATGAAAGGCCCGAAACTGGAAGGTCCCGATTTTGATGTCAACCTGCCAAAAGCAAATATTGATGTGAAAGCACCTGAAGTAGACATCAAAGGACCAGATGTTGACATTGAGGGACCAAATGCAAAACTCAAAGGGCCCAAATTCAACATGCCTACTCTCTCTGGACCCAAAATTTCCATGCCAGATGTTGACTTCAACCTGAAAGGCCCCAAACTAAAGGGTGATATGGATGTTTCAGCACCAAAGATCGAAGGTGAGATAAAGACACCTGACCTTGACATCAAAGCTCCAAAAGTTGATCTTGAAGGGCCAAAAAGTGGTTTTGAAATGCCTTCAATCAAAATGCCATCTCTGAATATTAAAGGTCCAAAGTTTGGAAGTCCAGATGTTGACATTAACCTGAAAGGCCCTAAACTTGAGGGTGACATGGATGTTAATTTACCAAAAATCAAAGGAGATATAAAAGCTCCAAGTGTAGACATTGAAGGGCCAGATTTGGACATTGAAGGACACAAAGGTGGCTTTAAAATGCCCAAAATTAAAATGCCAACATTTGGAATGAAAGGCCCAAAACTGGAAGGTCCCGATGTTGATGTCAACCTGCCAAAGGCAAATATTGATGTGAAAGCACCTAAAGTAGACATCAAAGGACCAGATGTTGACATTGAGGGACCAAAGGCAAAACTCAAAGGGCCCAAATTCAACATGCCTACTCTCTCTGGACCCAAAATTTCCATGCCAGATGTTGACTTCAACCTGAAAGGCCCCAAACTAAAGGGTGATATGGATGTTTCAGTAACAAAGATCGAAGGTGAGATAAAGACACCTGACATTGACATCAAAGCTCCAAAAGTTGATATTGAAGGGCCCAAAGGTGGTTTTGAAATGCCTTCAATCAAAATGCCATCTCTGAATATTAAAGGTCCAAAGTTTGGAAGTCCAGATGTTGACATTAACCTGAAAGGCCCTAAACTTGAGGGTGACATGGATGTTAATTTGCCAAAAATCAAAGGAGATATAAAATCTCCAAGTGTAGACATTGAAGGGCCAGATTTGGACATTGAAGGACACAAAGGTGGCTTTAAAATGCCCAAAATTAAAATGCCAACATTTGGAATGAAAGGCCCGAAACTGGAAGGTCCCGATTTTGATGTCAACCTGCCAAAAGCAAATATTGATGTGAAAGCACCTGAAGTAGACATCAAAGGACCAGATTTTGACATTGAGGGACCAAATGCAAAACTCAAAGGGCCCAAATTCAACATGCCAACTCTCTCTGGACCCAAAATTTCCATGCCAGATGTTGACTTCAACCTGAAAGGCCCCAAACTAAAGGGTGATATGGATGTTTCAGCACCAAAGATCGAAGGTGAGATAAAGACACCTGACCTTGACATCAAAGCTCCAAAAGTTGATATTGAAGGGCCAAAAGGTGGTTTTGAAATGCCTTCAATCAAAATGCCATCTCTGAATATTAAAGGTCCAAAGTTTGGAAGTCCAGATGTTGACATTAACCTGAAAGGCCCTAAACTTGAGGGTGACATGGATGTTAATTTACCAAAAATCAAAGGAGATATAAAATCTCCAAGTGTAGACATTGAAGGGCCAGATTTGGACATTGAAGGACACAAAGGTGGCTTTAAAATGCCCAAAATTAAAATGCCAACATTCGGAATGAAAGGCCCAAAACTGGAAGGTCCCGATGTTGATGTCAACCTGCCAAAAGCAAATATTGATGTGAAAGCACCTAAAGTAGACATCAAAGGACCAGATGTTGACATTGAGGGACCAAGTGCAAAACTCAAAGGGCCCAAATTCAACATGCCTACTCTCTCAGGACCCAAAATTTCCATGCCAGATGTTGACTTCAACCTGAAAGGCCCCAAACTAAAGGGTGATATGGATGTTTCAGCACCAAAGATCGAAGGTGAGATAAAGACACCTGACATTGACATCAATGCTCCAAAAGTTGATATTGAAGGGCCAAAAGGTGGTTTTGAAATGCCTTCAATCAAAATGCCATCTCTGAATATTAAAGGTCCAAAGTTTGGAAGTCCAGATGTTGACATTAACCTGAAAGGCCCTAAACTTGAGGGTGACATGGATGTTAATTTGCCAAAAATCAAAGGAGATATAAAATCTCCAAGTGTAGACATTGAAGGGCCAGATTTGGACATTGAAGGACACAAAGGTGGCTTTAAAATGCCCAAAATTAAAATGCCAACATTTGGAATGAAAGGCCCGAAACTGGAAGGTCCCGATTTTGATGTCAACCTGCCAAAAGCAAATATTGATGTGAAAGCACCTGAAGTAGACATCAAAGGACCAGATGTTGACATTGAGGGACCAAATGCAAAACTCAAAGGACCCAAATTCAACATGCCTACTCTCTCTGGACCCAAAATGTCCATTCCAGATGTTGACTTCAACCTGAAAGGCCCCAAACTAAAGGGTGATATGGATGTTTCAGCACCAAAGATCGAAGGTGAGATAAAGACACCTGACCTTGACATCAAAGCTCCAAAAGTTGATATTGAAGGGCCAAAAGGTGGTTTTGAAATGCCTTCAATCAAAATGCCATCTCTGAACATTAAAGGTCCAAAGTTTGGAAGTCCAGATGTTGACATTAACCTGAAAGGCCCTAAACTTGAGGGTGACATGGATGTTAATTTGCCAAAAATCAAAGGAGATATAAAATCTCCAAGTGTAGACATTGAAGGGCCAGATTTGGACATTGAAGGACACAAAGGTGGCTTTAAAATGCCCAAAATTAAAATGCCAACATTTGGAATGAAAGGCCCGAAACTGGAAGGTCCTGATTTTGATGTCAACCTGCCAAAAGCAAATATTGATGTGAAAGCACCTGAAGTAGACATCAAAGGACCAGATATTGACATTGAGGGACCAAATGCAAAACTCAAAGGACCCAAATTCAACATGCCTACTCTCTCTGGACCCAAAATTTCCATGCCAGATGTTGACTTCAACCTGAAAGGCCCCAAACTAAAGGGTGATATGGATGTTTCAGCACCAAAGATCGAAGGTGAGATAAAGACACCTGACCTTGACATCAAAGCTCCAAAAGTTGATATTGAGGGGCCAAAAGGTGGTTTTGAAATGCCTTCAATCAAAATGCCATCTCTGAATATTAAAGGTCCAAAGTTTGGAAGTCCAGATGTTGACATTAACCTGAAAGGCCCTAAACTTGAGGGTGACATGGATGTTAATTTGCCAAAAATCAAAGGAGATATAAAAGCTCCAAGTGTAGACATTGAAGGGCCAGATTTGGACATTAAAGGACACAAAGGGGGTTTTAAAATGCCAAAATTTAAGTTGCCAAAGTTTGGAATGAAAGGTCCAAAACTGGAAGGTCCCGATGTTGATGTCAACCTGCCAAAAGCAAATATTGATGTGAAAGCACCTGAAGTAGACATCAAAGGACCAGATGTTGACATTGAGGGACCAAATGCAAAACTCAAAGGACCCAAATTCAACATGCCTACTCTCTCTGGACCCAAAATCTCCATGCCAGATGTTGACTTCAACCTGAAAGGCCCCAAACTAAAGGGTGATATGGATGTTTCAGCACCAAAGATCGAAGGTGAGATAAAGACACCTGACCTTGACATCAAGGCTCCAAAAGTTGATATTGAAGGGCCAAAAGGTGGTTTTGAAATGCCTTCAATCAAAATGCCATCGCTGAATATTAAAGGTCCAAAGTTTGGAAGTCCAGATGTTGACATTAACCTGAAAGGCCCTAAACTTGAGGGTGACATGGATGTTAATTTACCAAAAATCAAAGGAGATATCAAAGCTCCAAGTGTAGACATTGAAGGGCCAGATTTGGACATTGAAGGACACAAAGGTGGCTTTAAAATGCCCAAAATTAAAATGCCAACATTTGGAATGAAAGGCCCAAAACTGGAAGGTCCTGATGTTGATGTCAACCTGCCAAAAGCAAATATTGATGTGAAAGCACCTAAAGTAGACATCAAAGGACCAGATGTTGACATTGAGGGACCAAATGCAAAACTCAAAGGGCCCAAATTCAACATGCCCACTCTCTCTGGACCCAAAATTTCCATGCCAGATGTTGACTTCAACCTGAAAGGCCCCAAACTAAAGGGTGATATGGATGTTTCAGCACCAAAGATCGAAGGTGAGATAAAGACACCTGACCTTGACATCAAAGCTCCAAAAGTTGATATTGAAGGGCCAAAAGGTGGTTTTGAAATGCCTTCAATCAAAATGCCATCTCTGAATATTAAAGGTCCAAAGTTTGGAAGCCCAGATGTTGACATTAACCTGAAAGGCCCTAAACTTGAGGGTGACATGGATGTTAATTTACCAGAAATCAAAGGAGATATAAAAGCTCCAAGTGTAGACATTGAAGGGCCAGATTTTGACATTGAAGGACACAAAGGTGGCTTTAAAATGCCCAAAATTAAAATGCCAACATTTGGAATGAAAGGCCCGAAATTGGAAGGTCCGGATTTTGATGTCAACCTGCCAAAAGCAAAAATTGATGTGAAAGCACCTGAAGTAGACATCAAAGGACCAGATGTTGACATTGAGGGACCAAATGCAAAACTCAAAGGGCCCAAATTCAACATGCCCACTCTCTCTGGACCCAAAATTTCCATGCCAGATGTTGACTTCAACCTGAAAGGCCCCAAACTAAAGGGTGATATGGATGTTTCAGCACCAAAGATCGAAGGTGAGATAAAGACACCTGACCTTGACATCAAAGCTCCAAAAGTTGATATTGAAGGGCCAAAAGGTGGTTTTGAAATGCCTTCAATCAAAATGCCATCTCTGAATATTAAAGGTCCAAAGTTTGGAAGCCCAGATGTTGACATTAACCTGAAAGGCCCTAAACTTGAGGGTGACATGGATGTTAATTTACCAGAAATCAAAGGAGATATAAAAGCCCCAAGTGTAGACATTGAAGGGCCAGATTTGGACATTGAAGGACACAAAGGTGGCTTTAAAATGCCCAAAATTAAAATGCCAACATTTGGAATGAAAGGCCCGAAATTGGAAGGTCCAGATTTTGATGTCAACCTGCCAAAAGCAAAAATTGATGTGAAAGCACCTGAAGTAGACATCAAAGGACCAGATGTTGACATTGAGGGACCAAATGCAAAACTCAAAGGACCCAAATTCAACATGCCTACTCTCTCTGGACCCAAAATTTCCATGCCAGATGTTGACTTCAACTTGAAAGGCCCCAAAATAAAGGGTGATATGGATGTTTCAGTACCAAAGATTGAAGGTGAAATAAAGACACCTGACCTTGATATCAAAGCTCCAAAAGTTGATATTGAAGGGCCGAAAGGTGGTTTTGAAATGCCTTCAATCAAAATGCCATCTCTGAATATTAAAGGTCCAAAGTTTGGAAGCCCAGATGTTGACGTTAACCTGAAAGGCCCTAATCTTGAGGGTGACATGGATGTTAATTTGCCAAAAATCAAAGGAGATATAAAAGGTCCAAGTGTAGATATTGAAGGGCCAGATTTGGACATTGAAGGACACAAAGGTGGCTTTAAAATGCCCAAAATTAAAATGCCAACATTTGGAATGAAAGGCACGAAACTGGAAGGTCCCGATTTTGATGTCAACCTGCCAAAAGCAAATATTGACGTGAAAGCACCTGAAGTTGATATCAAAGGACCAGATGTTGACATTGAGGGACCAAATGCAAAACTCAAAGGACCCAAATTCAACATGCCAAGTCTCTCTGGACCCAAAATCTCTATGCCAGATGTGGACTTTAACTTGAAAGGCCCCAAACTAAAGGGTGATATGGATGTTTCAGTACCAAAGATTGAAGGTGAAATGAAGACACCTGACATTGACATCAAGGCTCCAAAAGTTGATATTGAAGGGCCGAAAGGTGATTTTGAAATGCCTTCAATCAAAATGCCATCTCTGAATATTAAAGGTCCAAAGTTTGGAAGCCCAGATGTTGACGTTAACCTGAAAGGCCCCAAACTTGAGGGTGACATGGATGTTAATTTACCAAAAATCAAAGGAGATATAAAAGCTCCAAGTGTAGACATTGAAGGGCCAGATTTGGACATTGAAGGACACAAAGGTGGCTTTAAAATGCCCAAAATGAAAATGCCAACATTTGGAATGAAAGGCCCGAAACTGGAAGGTCCAGATTTTGATGTCAACCTGCCAAAAGCAAAAATTGATGTGAAAGCACCTGAAGTAGACATCAAAGGACCAGATGTTGACATTGAGGGACCAAATGCAAAACTCAAAGGACCCAAATTCAACATGCCAACTCTCTCTGGACCCAAAATTTCCATGCCAGATGTTGACTTCAACTTGAAAGGCCCCAAACTAAAAGGTGACATGGATGTTTTAGCACCAAAGATTGAAGGTGAAATTAAGACACCTGACCTTGACATCAAGGGTCCAAAGGTTGATATTGAAGAGCCAAAAGGTGGTTTTGAAATGCCTTCAATCAAAATGCCATCACTGAATATTAAAGGTCCAAAGTTTGGAAGTCCAGATGTTGACATTAACCTGAAAGGCCCTAAATTTGAGGGTGACCTGGATGTTAATTTGCCAAAAATCAAAGGAGATATAAAAGCTCCAAGTGTAGGCATTGAAGGACCAGACTTTGGCATTGATGGAGAAAAGGGTGGCATTGAAATGCCTACAATTACGATACCACCATTTGGAATGAAAGGTTTGAAATCGGAAGGTTCTCAATTTGACATTAAAGGCCCAAAAATTGATTTAAACCCCCTAAAGTTGGATGCTGATTCTAAAGTTAGGACACCTGTTTTAAACTTGGGAGCAAAAGATTTTAAAACAGAAGTTAGTTTTCCAGACTCTGAAGCAAGTCTTGATGTCCCTGACATAGATATCAATGTGAAGGGCAAAAAGGGAAAATTTAAACTTCCTAAAGTTAAAGGAAAGGCTAAAAAAATAGAAGCAGACATTGAAACACCATCAGCAGATATAAATCTGGACACAGCTAATATTAATGTCAAAAAAACCAAAGCAAAGAAGACTCTTTTCGGTAAATTTTATTTTCCTGATGTTGAGTTGGATATTAAATCGCCAAAAGGGAAGGGTGATGGTTCTTTATCTGATGGATTTAAATCATCTGATACAAACTTACATGTAAAAGGTAGCTTAGGCACTGAGAGTGCAAATATTTGCTTACAAGGTTCAGATGATAATATACCAAGTGTGAAAGGTGCTTCTGAATTTAGTGCAAATGTGTCAAGAAGTGCAACCGGTGGTCTTCAGTATCCAGAGGGTACAATGACATTTCCTAAACTCAAGATACCGAAATTTGGTATTGCACTTCCTGAGGTGAAAACCCAGGAAGATGAAAGGAACGTTAAACAGGAACTTACAGCTATTACAAGCACAAACATTGAATCTCCATCTGCCAGCTGCCAAGTTGGTTCACAAAATGTTGATATTCACAGTCCAGAATTGAAGCAGAGCGAAGGCAAAGTTAAGGGAAAGTTGCCAAAATTGTTTGGCAAATCAAAAGCAAAGGGCGGCAGCACAGGAGACCTGTGTGAATCAGAGATAGAGGTAAGTGCAAGTGGAAAAGGGAGTAAAGCCTATAAAGTAAAGTCTGGTGAAATGAAAGGTGGAACATTAGAACTTGAAGGTGATCCCAGAGTCAGTCTGTCAACTAAAGGGAAGTCAGCCTCACTAGATCTGTTTAAAAAATCAAAACACCGACCTCCTTCTATGAGTGATGAGGGCTCACTTGCAGTAAGTTCCCCTTCAAGTCACTTAGAAGCTGAAGGTGGTGATATTTCATTAGACCTAGGAGGAGGCAAGGTCAAAGGTAAGAAAGGAAAACTGAAGTTTGGAACATTTGGAGGTTTTGGTTCTAAATCAAAAGGCTCGTATGAGGTCACACTTGGAAATGACAATGAAGCTGAGACAGAAGAGAGTGCATCTGCTACTTTATCTTCTAAGAAATCAAGATTATCTTCCTCTTCAAGTAGTGACAGCGGTTCTAAAGCTGGTTTGAGATTCCCAAAAGTTGAGCTATCAGTTTCACCAAAGGACAATAGTAAGAAAAATTAAAAATTATAATTCTATATGCACCCAATCCAGAAAAAAATAAAAATGTTCTTTAAAATCTAAGGTTGCATTCAGTCAACTTAGTTTTTTTTAATACCAATTTTCAAAGATACAAATAAGAGTGCATGACATTGTTGAAAATCCAGTCAGACTGTAAATAAGATTAATTTGTACTTAAATAATAATACATGTTGTTTATGTATATAGTCAAGATTTATTAAAAATATGCCATCTCACAAAATTATTGGCTATCTTGTTACAGGTTTTGTTTCTTTGTCCAGTTCCATTTTCTTCATGAATGTTTTTATTGAACGGGTGTTGTATATTTGTATCTGGGGTCTTTTGCACAGAGCAGATACTTCAAGAGATTTTTTTGAAGAAGAATGTTCTTTATAAGTTTAAATATACGTTGAAACAGTTACCAATTTATTACCAAAGTTTATGTTGTTTCTATGCTTTGACCATATATAACCAATGCATAAGAATAGTTTGGCAACATAGAGCTGGCCTTTTGTAATACTTTCTACAGAATCACATCATTGTAAATACCGTAATTGCAAAGACAATCACTTTTTAGAAATGTTTGGATGTGTTGCAAGTACTTGTATGTTCATTTAACACAAAACGTATCTGAATAAAATTATGTCATTAAAAGAAGATTAATTTGTGTTAAACTGATTTCTTAAGCTTCTATTACTTTTACAGTTTAGCAATCCTCTGTATTTGATTACATTTTAACAATCTATTTTTGTGTACACCACTGTCACTAAAAATAAATAGAAAAATATGTCAGTCGCTGTTTGACATAATTTGTTTTCAAGGAAGTTATAGACTGATAGAAAGTTGTATAGCAATAAACAGATGCTTTTATGTCCATTATGCCAAATACTCAATAAACAGACTTGTAGAAATTACTGGTTTTGATGTATAATTTGATTTGCAAAACCGTTTCTGTGTTTTAAAAAAGAACTACAACATGGAATTAGGGAATTTCTCGACCTAAACGGGGCACAGGTATGCAGGTAGCGGAGGAACTCTTTTGGGAACCACAACAGAACGTGACATCAGTACCTCGTTGCTACATAATCTTAACTAGATGACATGAGGCTACTTTAGCTACTGCTAACTAGCACAGTTATATGCTAATAGGATGATATGAAAAAACAAATCTAATCAAAAGTAAATACCTGTCTCTTTTCTCTTGTTCTCATAGGTTTAGCCATTCCCACAAAGAACCCGACCGTCCATCCCACATTTGTCTGCTAGCAGGTTCTTTCTGATCACAACAGGACAGGCAGCTGAGCTCAGAGTGGGGTTGAAGAGAGCTGGATGGGAATATCATTGGCTTGCTTCAGTAAATTAGCATAATCTTTTTTTTATTTACTATTTTTGCAGAATGCAGAAATAAATGGACAGTAGAACGTTATGCTTTTTCTTTGGGCGAGTTGTTGGTGGTATGGATGCAGTTTGGCGCCCCCCCCCCCGGATGGCACCCTAGGCAGCTGCCTAGTTCGCCTGTAGGACAGACCACCACTGCTTATGTAGGACTGCTTCATATTTGTTGTGCATCATTGTTCTACACAGAGGTGGTATTCTGGATTGAAGTTGACAGTGAAGATAGTCATGGAGCTGAGCTATCTGAATCAATGCAAATGGCAGTACACTCATGCCTGTCATTGATGTTTTGAATGTTTTGGCAGCATTTACTTGCAGCATATGTCTTGTTCTTTTCAAGTTTCATTTATATAACTCACAATAGCATGCAGCCCCATCTTTACGCTGTCAGTCATGTGGCTCCTCATGATTCTCTAAGTAGGGATGCATCTAAAAAACACAGACAGCTTTTTCACAGCGGCCCTGTTTATGCAATGATTTCAGCTTCAGTGTGATACGTCATTCTGTATGTAGGATACGTGAAACTGAGAGATAAGTTAAGAGATAAGTTAAGTTGATGCATATGTGAGCCTGCAGCAGAGAAACCTATGTGTGAATGTGGTGTTATCAGAACTTCAGTATCTAGGAGAGCTGAATTCTGGATGTAAAAGGTTTGCGTTAAGCTATGAAGTTGATTATTATCAAAAGCACATCAGACGCTATCTGTGTGTCTACTTCACCCGTTCTCGGAGACCTTCTTGGTGGATCCAAAGGTCAGAGAGTTCGGATGGCCTCTGGCACTGAAGGGCTGTAGAATACTGTGGCACCGACTCTTCAGTCCAGAGATGTCTCGGGTCACGACAGATGGATGGAACCGCGCGTCTGGGACTCTAAGAGTCTAAACAATATCAGCTTGTTCTGCAGGAACTGTTTGCCATATCAGCTTTGCAGGTGCAAAAAGATTTTGACGACGTGTCAAAAGCTTTGATGGTTAAAGAGGATTTTGCTTTAGATGGCCGGTCTGAAGCTTTCTCTAGAACTAAACCGCTGAGCTGAACTGAACTAATGAATCACCAGAGTGATCTGGTTTTAATGTTCTCATGATTTGTGTAGCCAACCAGAGGTTGACAAGTTTGAGGAATATTACCAAGACAACTCCGAAACACGCCTTCCTTGATACCAGAGGCTTTGATCTGGGGTAAAGGGCTATTTATGTGTCATGAGTTTAACTTAACTTTACTTTGTTCTTGTGTGAGTGCAAATGGTGATGACCTTGTCATATTAACATGCGGAAACATATTTCAATCAATGTAATCATAACATAACATTCATTTCAAACTTCAATCATTGAGCACAGATTAATGAAAACATTTCATTATACTAAAATTATCATAAGTAGCAATAAAAAAACATTTATTTAATGATTGTGTAGCTTATAAGTTTTAGAAGTTCATATTTAATTTAGGAAATCATTCTTTGATTTAGCAACTAATCCGAGCTGCGAGTGTTCCTTATTCAAAGGCATGAAAAACCCTGTAGGACAATAAGGGAAGCTTGAACCTTGAGGAGAGAACATTATTGCTGACAATTCATTATCATGTGTTCAGAGCTGCAGAGAGGCTCTGAGCTCCAGCTGATGGGATGAAGGCAGGCCGATTTAAAGGGAACACATGCAGTCTCTTGTCTCCTTTTTGACCAGATGTTAAATGGCTGAAACTGTACCTAAAACTGACCATTGCTGGACGTTACAGGGGCGATTAAAGCATCAGAGGTTTATGGGTGCTGAGCACCTAGAGAGCTGCCCGTCCATGCAAGATTAGTTTCACAGTTTTCTACATTTTAACATAATTTCATTGCTACATTTCTAAAATAAAAGCAAAACACTCTTTTCCACAAATATAAAAAAAGTTTCACAAATCACAAACAATGCTGTACAGACTCTGCTATCACAATAATCTAGTCCAGGTTCAAAGGCGCTAGGTCAGTGATCCCCAGTATCCAGCATGTTTGACTGTTTTCTCTACTCAACATGCCTGACTTTAATCAGCAGGTGATTAGCAGGCCTCTGCAGAGCTTGATGAGCTGCTGAACTGGTGAATTATGTGTTGTATTCGGGAAACAACAAAACCACCTGGATACCGGCCCTCAGGGAAGGGAGTTAGGGATACTGGTCTAGGTGTTGTAGTTTCTGAGCTGGACCAGGTCCTATGTGGCCCAGATGCAAAACAATTGGGCCTGAATAAATTAACAAAATGCTGAAATCAACGTTTTAACTTTCACAAACCACACACTATGATTTAAGGTCTCTGCCATTAGTGGGATATCAGCTAGTCCAGGTTTGATGTGTCCAGGTTGTTGTAGTTTTATAATAAGCAGATTAAATATACTTAGGGGGTGAAACTTTAATTGGAATTGCCACTAATAGTACCAATAATATTTTTGAATTCATTTATGTGTGTTTTTACTTACTAAATTATGTATTTTTTCCCAAAAATAACAGATCTCATTTAGTAGACATTTAGAGTGATGGCAATGTAGCATCCAGCAATGGTCAGTTTAGGTACAGTCTGACCTTTCAACATCTATTCAACATCTGGTCAGAAAGGAGACACAACACTGCATGTGTTCCCTTTAAATGAGCCTGCCTTCATACCAGCTGGGATTCACAGACTCTGCAAGTCTGAAAGATAAACAATAACTTTCTTTCCCAAGGTCCCATCTGTTTGCCTCCACAGAAGGGAGAAGTCCAGCTCGAATCAGTTGCTAAATTCAAGAATGATTTACTAAATCAATATGAATTTCTTCTATGACTTATAATCTAGATAATAATTAAATAAACATTTGTTTATTACTACTTATAATACCGGTAATTACAGCACATATGTCAGAGTCAAGGCCCGCGGGCCAGATGCGGCCCGCGGAGCATTTTTATGTGGCCCGCGAGATTAATATCAAAAATATATTAAAACTGGCCTGCTGGCCGATTTTACCGTAAAGACTACAACTCCCATGATGCTTTGCGGCGTTAGCGCGGAGCCGACGAAGCCCCCTCCTTTGTGTTTTTTTCAGTGCCGAGGCAGTCAGAGGTAGTTGGGTGTCTGCAGCTCCGCTGTCTCGGACAAACTAAACACTCCTCTCACTCAGCGCCGAGTTCACTCAGCTGTTTTCTGACGTTGAAGCCCAGAAACGGAGATTCTAGCCGCTCAGTAATGTGTTCACGACTGAAAGAGAAAGTTTTCCTACTAACGTCCAGACAGAGCTGATATAACTCCAGCGAGCAGCGACACGCTCAAACCAGCACGGCTCTGTGGTTATGTTTCCTCCCCGACACACAACAACGTGGTCAAGCTACTCAGACATGTTCAGCAGCACAAACCTATGTGAGCACCTGTTGTCATCTAATGTTTTCATTATTATGATGAAGATGAACAAAACAACAGGAGTCTCCTCCTCAGCTCAGATCAACCCCAAGATGCAGGTATCTGGCTGGAACAGGTGAGCATCACAGTAAACCAGTGGAGCAAACTGAGCTTTAAATATGTTGGTTTTATGCTCTTTTTCTGCTCCAAAACATGAAAGTTAACAGGTGAGATGTTGCATTTTCATTTAAGATAAAATGATATTTTTATTTTGTTGTTGGCCCGTGAGAAAATATTTAACCTACGGTAAACAGGAAGTGGAAAGGCTGCAGATAGATGAATAGAATAGAAAATCCCTTTATTGTTCCTCAGTGGGGAAAGCTAGATGTCACAGCAGCGATGACACTTATTACAGGAGAAAAAAGGAGAATAAAAATAAGAAAAATGAATAAACAAGAAAACATAAATCCTGGATAGATTTATAAAATACTGAATATACCACAAGTAATGAATACTACTGATGTGTTTTATTTGTAACTGACTCGCTCGTGTGTAATTTGGTTATTCCACATTCAGTGTTAATGCAGAAATAAGTCTGTTTCCAAATTTAAAGGTTCAAAATTGCATACATGTTGATAAAGAAAACGTGCAAATTTGCCGTCACTTTTTCAAAAAATATTAAGTTTGGCCCTCGACTCCGTCCCAGAGTTTCATTTCGGCCCCTTGTGAGTTTGAGTTTGACACCCCTGAATTGCAGTATAATGAAATGCTTCATTAATCTGTGCACACTAAATGGATGTTATATTATGAGTGTCCACTAGAACCTGCCATGTGTTCAACATGTTTTGACGACAAGGTCCTCACACAGTAACAAGTACGGTAAAGTAAACTACAACACATAACTTGCCCTTTTTACCAGTCAGGACATCCGATATCAAACTCAACTCAACTTTATTTATAAATCGCGCCTTACAGGCAAAAAGATGCCACCAAGGCGCTACACTGATCAAATAAAAACATAAAACATTAAGTCCAGAAAATAAAACATTGTATCACACGATACAGATAAAAATACAATGAGTAAAATCGCTATAAGTAAAACAATAAAACTAGTTAGAAAGGTTAAAAGACAGGTCATAAAAAAAAATGTTTTTTAGCCTTGCCTTAAAAACCGCAACAGA